TATATATATATATATATATATCAATTTTTATATAAATTGTTATCTTTACATTTGTATTGTCATGTCACACACCTGACAGTGCACCAGCACTCCACTGTCACTCCGTTTGGCTTCGCATATGAAATCAGCTGCTTCATCTAAGCGTGTTCGTATACAAACACGTGGGGTAAAATAGTGAGCTTGTTAGTACGAGATAGAGTTTACATTACTCGGGAGCGAGGAGTCCCCCAGTGAGCTAATGTATAACTAATACAAACTCAATGGCCGAGTCACCTATATGTGTGCATGAGAGTATGTATATATGTGTCTATAGCGATGATAAGTAATAGTGTGAGAATGTGATTTTCAGAGCAAGGTTGAATACTGCATGCAGACTAGCAATGTGCAGACTAGCAATGTGCATTCATCATAAACCAGATTAACTCCGTTTTATAACAAAACAAAGTGGATCGGTACTTTTTCTACCAACCCAAAAAATGAAAGTACACATTTTCATAGCGAATTCAAGTAAATTGAATGAAAGTAGAAGCGAATCGGAGTGGATAAATATCACTATCCAAAACGTATCACAGTACATGAGAAGAAAAAAGCGAATGAAAGTTTAAAGGAAAATTATTCACAGCGAAACAGTTCGCATGGAGATTATTTCATTGCGACCCAAAGTATCAATCATAAGGTTTATACACTTTGCGGCAAAGTCATGCTGTACCAGGTATCTAATACGAGCCGAAGACTAGAGAACAGTTAATGTGAAAAACAAACTTGAGGGTCAAATGACTATCCGTTCGTACCTAAGTAAGGATAGATGTCGGCTTCCGGTTCGTCCCAGACTCTGATGTGACAGTATCGGAATTGGTCTGGGAAGAAGTCCTCGATTTCAATGGCCATATTCAATACGAAGCCGACCTGTAGAGTGTGGCATCAGATATCACTATTCATATCTATATATTACTACATGTCTATAGGTGTCTAGGAAATATAGCGTCCTGACTACCTTCACATCAATACATCGCCATATGTGAAGGCACTTCCTCTCATTTTACAAAGAGGACCACTACACCTTTCTATATTTCGAGACTGAACAAACTAAGCATTTCGCTATGTATAATATACACGCGCAATTCAAGGTGCGTTCGCATCCGATTTGCAGTGGCTGCGAACGTTTTTGAAAGGTTCCTTCAGTCGTGTGCATTCTAATTCCGACAACAGAATATATCTTGTTATTCAAATTCTGACCCAGGAATCATTGTACAGTTCACCACTAACATACTGACAATATCTTATACACCATTGTCATTGGCATTGTGATCCGGACATCACATATACCTTGTTATTCAGCAATTCGTCTCGGTTCGATGCATTCCATTCCGTTCCTAAATACAGAAAGCGATCGAAAATCTCGCTGTGGCATAGGCGTGAGAGGACGGGTATGCGAACAAACTGAATGCATATTCTGAGTATATGTGACGAATTGCGAAGCGGCATTGGCCGAGTAAGCTTATGTGGGTATATTCATGAGTGTACATATGTTCCCAAATCCGTACAGGCCTCTATAACTCCGGAGAGTAGAGAGCCATTTATACATTATGTCGGACACTAAGTATAACATGAACCAAAGAAAGGAGCACCGCAATGGACTTGACTGCTGTAGCGCCAACTAACGCCTACGAATACAATTACTGCAGCAACACAGGGTGAATAATAAGAATACGAACTCACACACCTAGACAATATCAAGAACGACCTATTTCATGTGGCCAAATTCCAGGTTGTGTGAGCCAACAAAAGCGTGATGGAATTTGGATGGTATGCATTAATTCATACAAAAACACATTTCGTGTCGAAGAACTAAGCACGAAATCGGATGAAAGCACAACCAGACAATACGATGCTCATTTCGATATTCAGAGCATAAAGCTCCAAGTGAATTTTAAAGAACAATCTACACGTTTGTGTAGACAATATTGCATCAGCCCTTGAAATTAGTAACTGAGTACGTGATGTTTTTCATAACACATGATTTCTAAAACATACCTCGACTCCTCCATTTGCCCCAAAACAACCATCATGCGCTCGTCAATGTACTTCTTGTAGCTGCGCAGATCCTGCTGAAACATCACCTCCAGCTGACGTCGGACCTGGCAAAAGGTGTGCAATGGTATATGATTGAAAATCATGCGATACGAAGAAGAACAATAAGTAGACGTACATGAGCGAATGTAGGTTGAATTGGGCAACATTAAATATAATAAGTGTACGCGCGTGCAAACGAATGGACTCTCCACACTACAGCAGAGCGTTGGAGACGAAAACCCCAATATGCATTAGAAGACGACCGCAGACGTGGTGATGCAAACTCGTCCAATCTTGATTAAATCTATTTTAATCGAATACCTACATAACCATTTTCGTCTCACGCACACAACAAATCTCAGGTGTTGGTGTACACAGCATGACAATGCACGCCAACAAACGCGCACCCAATGGTTCAGGTACGAAAACGTCGATCACCACTAAGAGACTAAACACCAGTGAAATGTTTACAAAGCAGAATCATTCAAAGCACTCGAATCGACTATGTAGGCATGGAAAGTACTATATTGGATGAGGCTTTGTATACATACACGCACACATA